CAGCAAGGGGAGCAAAGCAATGAAGTACCCAAGGAATCCCAAAAATAGACTTCTGACTCAGGGGGTCGGGCTTGGCACCTCATCAGACCCGATAGGAAAACATTCATAAGGGCCAGCAGACAGACCTGGAACTATTTATAGGCTTTTTTTTTTCCTTCATGTCTCTCTATATAACATAGACATGGCTGTTTACAATACCAAGGAGAAAACAATGGGACCAATGGTTCTGGGGGGAGTAGGGAGCAGGCATGGAAGAGGTGGAGGTAGAAGAAAGAGAGTGGGGAGTCAACAAACCCAGGGACAAGGGAACAACAGGAGCTCAAAAATTGATGGTGAAGAGGGCAGAATGCCTGGTAGGGTTTGCTCAAGTGCACTGTAGCCAATAAGAATTACTGAGAGCTGAATGAAGGTCGAACATGATAGTGGGACAAGAGGAAAGTAAAAAAAAATAGAGGAAAGAAGTAGGAGGTAAAAGCCATTTACAGAGGTATATAGACATGTATATATGAAAATATATTAAAATATAATGATAGTGATACAGGTCTATACATATATTTATATGTTAATCTAAATATAGACATGTATATATGTAAATATATTTATATATAGCAATGGGGATATTTATACATTAAGTATTAAGGTAGCAGACAAACATTGGGCCTCTACTCAAGTCCTCCCTTGAGATAGTTAAAGTTTATTGTGCCAATCTGGCCGATAAACAGATGTGGAATTGAAGGGTGGAGATAAATGGCTTGGTGAGCCTCGCCTTTTGAGTTCTTGGGCCTCTTGCTCTCTGATGGTCAGACCAAGGTGCAGCTGCCTTAGCCAGTTCCCTGCTTCAGCTGGCAAGGCTCACTTCCTGTGAGACATCCCTGAGAAGAAACCACATGGACCTACCCTGATTCAGCCCTGGGTACTGGAGCAGTCGTGTGGAGACCCCTGCCAGCGATAAGATGCTTCCATGCTCACTGATTCGGCTTTCCTCCTGTATTTGGCATCAGTCATTGCGTGTGTTTTTTGAGATTGAGGACATTGTAGATTGGTGTCGGACATATGGGCTAATGTCGGACTTATGGACTTGACAGCACTGGGTTGGGATGCTTTGTTAATGTACACTTACACTTTATATAAAACTTTCTCTTATATGCATATGGTTTTCTGTGGATTTGTTTCCCTAGTTTACCCAGACTAACTCATCCCTCAACACAAGAATACTTTGTTCGAATAACCTGGCATTCTGTGATGCTCACCTTCCTGACAGGATCCTGATGACAAAATGGGTGCATAAGCAAATATGATGAAAAAAGTTGATGGTGCCCAGTTATTAGAAGATATAGCACCTGGGGTCTTAAAGGCTTGAAGTTAAACAAGCGGCAATCTAGCAGGGAAGCAACAAAGCCCACATGGAAGAAGCACACCAGCTTGTGTGATCATAAGGTGTCAATGCGATCAGGTATCAGGCACCAGAAGACCCAAAACAATCAATCCAAGCAAATGAGGGGGAAGGGCAGGGCAGAGGGGGGAACCTAAGCCCATCTGCAGACAATTGGACATCTCTTCACAGAAGGGTCACAAGGAAGGGATGAGTCAGCCAGGGTGCAGTATAGTACCAATGAAACACCTAATGTTCCTCTAGTTCTTTAATGCTTCCTCCCCACCACCATCATGACCCCAGTTCTACCTTACAAATCCAGCTAGACCGGAGTATGTACACTGATGCAGATAAGAGCTCTCAACATACGGAATCCAGGACACACAAACACTTCAGGAATAGTAATGGGAGTAGTGATACCATAAGGGTAGGGGGAAGGTGTGGGGAGAAAAGGGGAACTGATTACATTGATCGACATATAACCCTCCTCACCCCCAGGGGAATGAATAACAAAAACATCGGTGAAGGGAGACAGCAGATGGTGTAAGATATGTAAATAATATTTATAATTTATCAAGGACTGCAGCATGGGAAAATACAGGAACTGATACTAAGGACTCAAGGAGAAAGAAAATGTTTTGAAAATGATGACAACATATGTACAGATGTGTTTGATACAATTGATGTACAGATTATTATAATAGCTGTAAGAGCCCCTATTAAAATGATTTATAAAAGCAAAACAAAACAAAACGAGTGGATTTAGCTTGCTCTTTCATATCTCCTAATTCTAAGTTTTTTCAGAGATTAGAGACAGAGTGAGACCTTTAATTTATAGATTCATTCAGGGAAATAAGATTTATAGGTATTGGGAGAACAAAAGAGATGTGGTGAAAGGAATTTAGGATAACCACCTAGAGAAAGACTAGAGCTGGTCCTTCGTCTAAAGCCAGAGAATTAGGTGACTTAACAGGTACAGATGCCACAAGAGCCACAGCCTGAGAAAAGAAGAAACAAGTTTTAATACAGACCCACTAGCAAATTGCAATAGGACTTGGCAAGGAAAGAGTTAATGGCTCTGCCTTCACAGCCACCTCCAGCACTGCTACTTTTGTCCTGGGAAGCTGGTGGGTGAAGAAAAGAGTGGAAACGGAGCCAGTGGTTAGAAGTGGAGAAAAGAACTATAGAGGGTGGCTGCTATTTCAGAAAGCAGACAGGGGTGAGAGGCAAGAGTGAAAAAAGGAAATTCCAGGGTTTTTATTGGGGGAGGGGGGGGCCCCCCGCAACTATTAATCTTTTAGATACGATGAATCCTGAGCATCTTTCTGGTTGGGTCTTTTTGGGCTGAGTGCTAGCATTAATAGCTCTGACGTCACTCGGCTGGGTAGGAAGAGGGAGGTCGGGCTTCATAAACACAAAAGGTGTCTTCGGCTGTGATGGATAGTGCTGTCACTGGACCCTCAACTAGTGAAGAAGCGCCAGTTGTGAGGTGGGCTATGAGCTGGCCTGTTAGACACAAGGTCAGCTGTTTGAAACTACCGGCTGCTCTGCAGGAGAGAAACAAGGTGGTTTACTCCCATAAACAATGACAGTCTCAGAACCCCACAGGGTCAATTCTACCCTGTCCTCTGGGGTCACTTTGAGTTGGAATTGATTTGATGGCAGTGAGAACGGAAAGTCAACCAAAAAGACCTCCTGGATGGTTTGATGCAGTGGTTTCAACAATGGGCTCAAACATAAGAACAATTGTGAGGATGGTGCAGGACAAGGTAGTGTTTAGTTCTGTTGCATAGGGTAATTAGGAGTGAGAACTGACTAACATAAAGAACTAACAACCATATAAAACTGTAGAGTTCCTTGTATGATGCAAACAGGCTCACTTAGTAACCAAATGTTAGTGCTTCAAAACTACCCATGGGTGCCTTGGAAGAAGGGTCTGGCGGTCTATTTCTCAAAGATTACAGTCACTGAAAACCCTACTGAGGTCAGTTCTATTCTCAAACATCTGGAGTCACCATGAGTCAGAAGCAATTCAATGGCAACTGGTCATGTAGACCTGTAGAACAGTCTCAAACGTTAAGTCCACCAACATTAGCAAGCTCATTAGGGGCAGAAATGGGGCAAACTGGCCAATTTAAGTAGCTGTCATTAGTCATTTCTTCTATTCTTAACAAGTTTATTTTTGGAGCTTCCAATACTACCTGTATGCATCTGATTCCCAGTTTGCTTCAGCCTTTCTTTCCACGTTGCCTCTCATTCCAGGTTCTTAAATTCAGTCTAGGTAACAGCCTGATAGGTGAACTGTTTTAACTACTTCTTTAAAAAAGGGAAAAACATACCCTTACCTGTAAATAGAACTCAAAAATATATTGTCATTTTCCTCTTTAAAGACGTTTTCAAACGAATGCATTTCCATTTTCTCAATCACTGCCACTGAGTACCTTCCAATTCGCAGTGGTAAGTGTATGCTCTGCCTTGTATATATTTGGTCTTTTAAAATATTGCGTCAAGCAACGAGTCCATTGATTTCTGCTGTTTCTCTTCCAACACAATTAGAAAAAGGTAAGCAATGCTCTCCTCCTGGTGTTTGCCTCCTTCAGAATCATATTGCTCTTAAGGGTATGACATTGTTTGCTTGAGTGTAACAATCGTAAAGTATGCCGATTACTCTAGGGTCCTTAGCACAGTGGTTATGTGTTAAACTGCTTAACTGCAAGGTAAGCAGTTTGAAACTACTAGCTACTCTGCGGGAGATAGAGGCTTTCGACTGTCAGGAGTTAAGTCTTAGAAACCCACCAGGGCTATTATTTTACATTGCCCTACAGGATCAATGAGTTGGAATCTACTCAATGGCATTGAGTTTGGTTATTTAATGCTAATGCTTGCTTTTAATTACTCAGATTGAAGGAAACTCCAAGTCCAGGGGACTGGCTCGAGGGATAGCTTCTTTCACCATCAGCTTTGGGAAAAGACTTGTCTTAGCCTGTGATTTCACTGCTCCCAGTTCCTTGGTGATCCCCCAGGGTATCTATCTCCCCCCATCTGTATAATCTGCTGTTGCTGACATCATGCGTGACACGGCCAATGTGACGTTACTTAGATTTCCTTGAACACTCCTGAGTCTGCATAAAAAATACACTTCCATTTCAGAAATGTAACACAAAATTTAAGAAGTTCCCTGTAAACATAACCCCCTTCTCAATATATTTTTCTACTTTGCTCCATATATAAATAACTTAATCTACAAATTCATAAACAAGACTATCAAGCCTAGTGGCCTAAAACTGTACAAATTTTGCTTATTTTATGAAACTGAGAAGTATTTTAATTTGACTTTACAAATTACATGCAGTATTTGCAGTTTTTATTATCAAATGACCTAACACCTCAAGTTATTATTGTACCAGCTATGCCAATAAAATAGACCTTCCAGTGCACTTGGAGACACTGTGTGTTTAAGAACTCAAAATGACCAAATAACTTGATTCTTAAAATGGTCCTAGAGCAAGTTGCTAATTAACTATTAAACTACATTAAAAGCATGTTCGATGCCTGGGGGAGAAAATGCAACAAATGAGTGAAGGTTTGTCCCAGTTATTAGTTATAGAAACACAATTTTAAAAAAATCTAATATTCAAAGTCAGATTGTATCCATTTTAATTTCAGAAAAAAAAAAACCTCCACCAAGACTCTTACAGAAACAAAATCAGTATCTTTTTAAAAGATTTACTTTGAATGCTCACTTTGGCTAGATAAAACATCTAAGGGAAAATAATGACACAGCAAACTGATCTTCAAAAGACATAGTTATGATTCCTCAGGTAGGACATTTGATCATTTAGTTTTTGACAATGACTAGAAGATCCTATTTCTTCAAAAGAAAATTAACACTTTCATCTGAAAGACACTTTCCATCTAGTGATTTATTAGTTAGCCACTCAAGATTTATTAAGTAAGCACTCAGATTACTTTTACATAATAAAAGTGAAAATGAATTTTGCATGCTGGCTCTGTGTCAATTCAGACATCTTTTATTTTAGGTCGTTTTATTTATAGGCTATCAAACTTAGAAACATTCTCAACTCATATTCTCAGAGTTAAATGATTCAAGCCAAAAATAATACTAGTCTTGTCATTACTTTTTATTTTTCAATACAAAAGTGACCTGGTTCACATGAATTGTCAGCTAAAATTTATGCTTAAAAAACTAAATATTCTGCATTAAAGAGACAATTCTAAGAAATGTTCTTCATGCTCACATATAAAACAGGACTATGATGCATATAATGAATTGAAATAAAAATTCACAAACGGTAGCTGTAATTCTGTCAACCCTCAGCTGAATACAACATATACCCACAGTTCTTATATGCATAAACAATTCAAAATTAAAGTTTATAATGGAAATGTCAACAAGTCATAACTACATCACTACTGATGGGTTGCACTAAACCCGCAACCAGGCACAGCAGATGTGCACCTCTGATAGACTCTTTAGAAAATTAAAGCTATCCTAGCTATAAATAAGGAATACATAAATATGATGTACATCGTGATGCCAAAGCATTAGAGCTATTAAAAAAGAAGAAGCGAAGTAAACACATCAGGTTTCTCTGTAAGCCACTTTCCACTGATTTATAAAGCTATGGTTTTGTAATTCTCTTTAAAAGGAAAATGCTCCTACGCTGCTGCATGCAATAATTTCATTCTACGTTCTTGACTACAATGCAATCTTCTATCTTCTTGCAGAGCTTGACATATCTTATCAAGATTTCTTCAGAAAAATCAGCTTGTCATATTTTCAGCAGCCTAGAAAAGAAATTCATTATAATAAAACTACAGAAAATAAGACACCACGGAGATAAATTTGTCACCACAACACTGTCATGAACAAATAGACCTCCCCCAGGTATCAAACTCCCTTATCAGAATCACACGGTGGTTTGTGTTGCCGCCGTGTATCTGGACTACCCTGTGAACTTCTTGCTAGGTTGACAGTAGAACACTGATATATCTTCTTAAATAGCAGTTATGAGTACCTGTGAGAAATATATTGCTACTTGGAAAATTAGCAAAGAACAGACATGGTCCCCATAACCGTCATTAGTTTGCTTATTTCTGCATGAGTACTGCAGTGCAGGAGATGCGAGTTGTTGAATGGAAAACTGATGACCTGCTCTGTGAGCCTTCAACCAAATTCACAAAAAGTAAAAACCAAAACAAGAAACATCAAGGAAAAACAAAAAGATAATAAAAAAGATCTACCATATATATTCGATAAGTCGACCTGAATATCAGCAAAGGCACCAACTTTTACCACAAAAACTGCATTAAACCTGTGCTGAAAAACTCGGCTTATACACGAGTATATACGGTATTATGTTACAGAGTTGAGAGAAAACAGGCAAAAGAGATTAGGATTTGTTTTAATTGTTTCTAGTTTTTAGGGGGTTAAAAAGCCTAGTTTACTAGAGGTAAGTCTAAAAGTTTCAGTTTCTGGGTTTTAAGGTTATGATGAAAACAACATACATGTACTTTAAACATACATAAATCTATTATATATACAAAATTTATTTAAAAATTACAGCCCCCAGGGGGGAGTGGGGAGGGAGGGGGTAAAATGAGGAGTTGATGCCCAGGGCTTAAGTGGAGAGCAAATGCTTTGAGAATGATGAGGGCAAGGAATGTACAAATGTGCTTTACACAATTGATGGATGTATAGATTGTGATAAAAGTTGTATGAGCCCCCAACAAAATTATCTATAAAAAAAAAAAGAAAAACTACACCCAACTATTTTTTCAAAAACTATTCTGAAGAAATTGCCGACAGCCACATTATTCATCAATAAATGATTTGAAACATCTAAAAGGATTAAAATATTAGCAGTATCATACCTAAAAAATGGAATTATATGCCAAACCAAAAAAAAAAAAATGGAGGTAGTAGCTGTAGTCAGTGCATAAAGCCCTTCTAGCCACAATTCCTGGTATGATGTATTATGATTCTGGACTCTATGCCTGTGGCTACGGTGCCAGGTGTTACTCACTGGGCTGCTAAATTCAAAGTAGCAATTTGATACCACAAGGCGCTCCTCAGGAAGATGATGGGGCTTTCTACTTCGCTGCAGAATTAGAGGCTCACTCTGAGTCTGAATCGACTCAGCTGCAATGAGTTTGGTTTGCTCTTTGTTGCATCATTAAGGAGCGATTCACTCCTGATGCTGGCAGCCCTGGTGGCATAGTGATTATGCACTGGGATTCCATCTGCAAGGTCAGAAGAAAGGCTGGGCTTTCTATTCCCGTAAAGAGTGAATTCGTCTCAGAAATCCTCAGGGGAAGCTCTACCCTGCCCTATGGAGTTGCTGTGGGTGGGCATAGATTCAATAGCAGCGAGTTGAGAGTTCAGTTGAAGTTCTGATCTCAGTGGAGGATGTGAACCAAATCACAGCCTTTGTTTCTGTGGTGGTATCTTTAAGTCTTCTTTACTATGGGGTATGACATCTTCATTTTCCTTGGGGACATGATCAGCTAAAAGACAAAATAAAACCCCCAAAAAACACCTCCATTAAAAAGCCATTCCCTATTGTGTTAAGAATCATCTGGAACACTGAGAAAAATCTGAGAACACTGAAAGAGTACACCCAAGATCTATGTAGAAATGGTAGAGGCTGCTGAGAGACTGGCACAGAGACTCAAGAGAACAGTGCCAAGGCTATGGGGTACCTTCTCCTTATCTGGCCCGAGACTACGGGACTGTGAGACAGTGACAGGCAGGCTGGATTCCGGGTGCACTGAGGTGAAAGCCATGGGACCATGTGGCGGAGAACCAAAGAGATACTTGGTTGCTGCCTGATGAGGTATTGTTGTAGACCAATGACTATCCTTACTGTTTTCTAATTCTGACTGTGGTTAACCTATCAACTTCCTGAATAAATCCCCTAATCAGGCGTGTTATCTGAGTTTTCTGCAGCCACTTCAAAGAATTATTGAGCTACACAAATAGGTTAAAATGACAAGATGAAGAAACATTTTTTTAATTTTATTTTTACATCTTATGATACTTTAACATATAAATAATTAAAATATTTATTTTCTATTAGAAGGGACCCTGAATTTTGAAAAAGAGCAAAGTCAAGGGCCTAGATTGTGTGATTTTAAAACTTACTGCACAAAGCTATATTTTGCTGTATGTAATGCATCATTTGACTTCTTGAGTTACATCAGGTACATCTGACTCACAAGACCTCTTTAAAATACTGAAGAGCAAGGCTGTCTCTTTGAAAACTAAGATGCAGCTGACACAAGTCAAGCTATTTTTAATTGCTTCATATGCATGTGAGAGTTGGACATTAAATAAGACACGGACAAATAGCCATGACATTGAATTTGCCAACTGTTTTTCAAGAGCAACACAATTAAAATATAAACTATACCTCACCAAATTTAAGAACTTTTGTGCAGAACATATTATAGTATGAAATGGAAGAAACTATTTGGGACCCATTCATCTGATAAAAGCTAAATATCTAGCATATACGAAGAACTCCAAAAAAACCAGCAAAAAGACCAGTAACCCAAAGAATGTATGTAGTCATTTCTCTATATATACATAACACACACACACACACACACACACACACACACACACACACACCAGTAACCCAAAGAATGTATGTAGTCATTTCTCTATACAGTGAACCCTCGTTTAT